CACACATACACACACACACACACACACACATACACACATACAGACACACTAACTGCAAAGACTCCCATTTTGTGCTTCGCACATGGGAGTCAAAAATGACACCAACATGTAATTATTCATTCTGATATTTTTCTTGAGTCTTACTGTTTCAAAGTACATTTAGCGATTTAATATAAAAAGATTACCTGTAATCAAGAATTAGTTGGAGGCAAGGCATGTCAATGTTTCAAACGGGAAGTGAAATATTAATAATGTGAAAATACTGCAACAAAAATAAAACTCATCGACTGCACGAATCTGTTCATGCAGCTGTGCCTGATTTCTATTGGTATTCAGAAGGGAATTTTATGGTTGCCAGAGGATCTGCTCCCCAGGGTAAGGGGGCGCATGGCCATGGCATGAGGGCGCTGCACCCGTTCCCTGGTTTAAAAAAATCCCTAAAAAACACACACACATTGATGGGGTCACTCTGACCCTGGTCAGTCCATGGACGTTTAGATATATATGTAATTTTAACTTCTACAAATTATACAGTGAGTGAAATGCCACATAGATTCTAGGCTAGGTTTATATTAATCTAAATGGACTCATTAATAGAAAATTATAATTATTTATTCCAATATAGGGCTGACTATGTTTCATAATTTACCTCGTTACTGGTTTTCGGCTGTACAGTCCAAGTTGTTTCCACGCTATTTCCTCAGTGGTACTCTGTTCTCTGTGATTACATTTGTCACATTCCTGAGTGCTCATCCATTTGGATCACATGATAACATGCAAACCAAAATACAGGTAAGGTTATCTTTTCTCGTGCATACTGCTTATTTTATAATAATTTTATCTTATATCCTAATTTTAGACTTACGGTAGTACTGTAAAATACTTTATTTTAGCTGGAATTAATTTTCACTGAAAAGACTTTTTGGGTGTTTTGTATGGAATTTATTTTCATTGATTTTTGACAAGTTGATTGTAAAATATAGAAAAAAAGGTATATTCGCTGGATATTATTTTCACTGAATCACCCCTTCAGCGAAAATAAATTCCAAGCAAAAATAAAAGTATTTCAGAGTAATATATTAGGTTTATTTAAGGATAGAATTTCACTCACACATGTTTGACATGTACTCTGTAGTAGTGATGATATTGAATGTAAAATATATTTATTTATTAGTGTGTAAAATTGTTGGTTTATTAAAAAGTTACTTTTTAAATCCAGCTTCCATAGGCCACAATAAATACCTACTATAAATATGTAAATTATATGAAAGTGCAGGGTATTTCCTAGAAAAAAACTGCAAGAGGGAGCACAGCAATTCAGTGACGCCACCAAGTGGGCGAGATAGGGTTCTCTCTACCAGGATGTGGAGTTTTTGATAAGTTAAAATGAAACATTCTATGGCTTCCTTGGGGCCAAAATTACTATCAGATAGTTCACAGTTGTGTATCACATGTGATCCCTGGTCAATCAGAATTTCATGGTTGCCAGAGGATCTACTCCCCAGGTTAAGGGGGCGCATGGCCATGACATGAGGGTGCTGCGCTGCTGTTCCCTTGTTTAAAAAAATCCCTGAAAGTGAATACCAGCGGGACACTGACATCATTAAGACCATTGTGGTTGTTTTCTACTTCTGTTAAATAAAGTAATTTGGTTTGCTTAATTGAAAGTGGAACAGAAGAATTTGAAAATTTTCTTTAGTGTAGGGCTGATAACTTTCTGGCAGGGTTTGACAAATTGCAAACACTGATTGAACATGAATTTTCTTGAACTTCCTATACAACTTTCTGTACAATTTTGTCACCTTGCCCCCCCCCCCCTTTTGTTCTTTTGCATTGTTGATTTCATTCTGTAGTTTATTCCAATTGTATCAAATGTTACATACTGTAAAATCAAAGGTTATTGCTTTTATTTGCATAATTGCACATTAATTAAATTTTTTATGGCAGTGTTTGAGTGGGCAGTTGGTGACCAAATTTAAATAACGTCCGTTATTGTAGTGCTATGTTGGGCTATATGTAGTAAACAGTTATGAAACCATTTTTTTTGGGATAACCCGTACAAAAGTTTCTGAAAAGTAACATATCAATCAGTAAAATATGTGTGTATATTTACGTCTCTTTCAGGTGTATTCACTGATTGGTGTAATAGTATGCACAATTAGCAACGTATTTGTCACCCCTGTGATGATTGGATACCTGAATGATCGCAACAAAATTGAAATGAAAAAGGGTATTGATAAGAACCACATCGGTCACATCGATTCCAGCAAATTTGCCGGTGACCTCAAATATAAAGACTTATCTAAAAAATTTCTTCTTTACCACGGTATAAGCTCACTGCTGAATCTATTAGCTTTCTGTGCTAATGTAGTATATTTATATATTCTTTCAGCAGGACTGACTATTTAATTACGGTAATATCATACATGTTTGCTATGCTATTTCATTAATAATGGAAATTAATTTCATTATTGCGAAGAATTGTAACTATTGCATATCAGGACAGTATGAAGGGGCCAATCATTAGACAGAAAATTAGCATGATTGAGGAATGCCGACTTATCAGTCAATCAGTGGTCACAGTCACCCATTATAAATTAGCCAATCAGTGGTCACGGCCATCCATTATAAATCAACCAATCAATGGTCATGGTTACTCACTGGCACTCAATGGATGTAGTCATCCACTGACATTAGCAGCAATTCCAGACTTTTGTTAAGATAGTAATTCAAGTGAAACAGCAGTCCTGTATCTATAATTCTAGGGTTATGAACCCAATAGTTATTGGGTTACTCTGATACTCTATCATAACATAGCAAAACTATTGAAAACAAATTTACTTTTGCTATGGAATAAAATAGAAAATATTTTGAATTACTGTATTATAATGGAAGTACCTTAACTGACAAAGAATTCCTACCATGAATCTTGGATAAAATATTCCACTAAATAACCATCATGGTAAATCTGCTGGAGTTTGGAAAACACAACCTGTGGAGATTACACAATTTATTCATTGTCATACAACTTTATGTTCGGTATAGAAATATACTGATAGTAGACATCAAAATTTATACGTACAGTAATTATCGTAAAATCTGTATTAGAAGCCGCATCCCTAATAGAAGTTGCACCAAATCTTTTTGAATAATTGAGAACCAAAGATTCCCCATTTCTCATGTGTGTAGATAGAAGCAACATATGCTTGAATAGTATCAACATCCCCTCTGTTGCATTGTAACATTTCAATAGAAGCTGTGGTTTCCAATACATATTTTACAGTATACTTGGTATAATAGGTACTTATATTGTACAGAGAAATATTTTACTGTGGATAGTACAAGTGATATATATATATATATATATATATATATATATATATATATATATATATATATATTGTTCAAATGTATTAAAATACATTGTTTATTTGTGTGAAATTTGAATGTACACTGCATGATGACTGTTAAGTTAATTTAAAATTTATCGTTTCAAAGAAGAAGTTTGGTGACTAATATTGGTCTGTTTTTTCAAGATGCACAAAATGAAAACAATGTGATCCACAATATTGAATTTTATGATTAGTATTCATGGATTTTACCAAACACTAATCAGGTCTGTGCATTGTCCTGGAACATCTATATGTACCAAATTTGTATTAATATCTGACCAGCGGTCACATACATACAGTGTACACATACAGATAGGGTAACTACATATATACTACAACCTTATAAAGAATTAAAGTTGTAAGTGTTTATGTAAAAACAAAAATAATTTACTAACTGCGAATGTAACAGCATTGCTTATTAATATTCAGTTATAGTTTAATACTCAAAATTGTTTACTACTATTATGAGTGAATGTTTTACAGCACTTGATTAATTCTGTACAATGCCAAATCTACCATATTTTCTCAGGCATGAGTTTACCTACCACAGTGTCAAGAAGTTCAACAATGCCATTGACTAATAAGAATTCCATTAACCTGAAAATTTTTGACAAAATCTTAGATTTCTATCGCTGTTTTATAAAGTGTTGAGAACTTATATTTATGACTATTTTTAAAATTATATTGCGATTTTACCTCTCCCAAGAATTTAACTGGTAAATAATGTTTTTTTACTAGAAATGTACATTTGTTACAGCTGTTAATTTTGGATGTTCAATATCACTTCAGATACACTACTTACTTCTGTCTTTAGCTTTCAAATTGAATTTTGGTGTCACCGAGTGGTATTTCTATTTTGTGATCTGTTCAATTCTCTAATTTTTATGAATATTTGTGTCATTTTGAGTAAAATGTGATATTTTCAACTTTGTCTTGAAAACAGTGCATTGCATTATTTTTGTATATATAGGTACATGTTGACTCATCTAAGATTTGTTAAGATTGCCATTGCTGCTTGCTAGCGCCCTCTTGTGTCAGCATTGTCATTTATTTTGTTTATTGAATAGCAGTGGATATAGAGCAGTTATAATAATGATTTCATATTTGTGTTTCAGACAGGTAGTCACATGACTTTTGGTGAACAATCAAATCAGAAACATCTACATGCAAATTATTTCTATAATAAATTATAACTACATAATAAAATATATTCTATGTATTAAATGACAATAACATTTGTGTTAATATCAGTAAATACAATTGGATAAAACACAATATGTTGTAGCCGTTCTTGTTCTATACTATGTACAATGTATGTACACTTCTATGAAAACCACTTTTGGCATATTACATCAAAGGCCTATGTCATACAACCTACCCGCAACCAATTATACTGTAAAATCTGTATTAGAAGCCGTAGCTTCTACAAAAATGGTACATTCTAACAGAGGGGATATGGCTTCTATTAGAGCACTTGCACATCTGAGAAATGTTGAATTTTTTTGTTCAAAAAAAATGAGTGCGGCTTCTAATAAAGATTTTACGGTACTAAGTGTATTGTGTACAAACCACGAGTAACCCAACACATTAAAGGCTCATGTCAGGCAACCGGACTGCAACCTATTTAGTACTCTGTAAAAACCTCTTGGCACAATGCG